AATTGCTTCATCTGTGCGTTCAACCCACTACATTCTTCCAACTACTCATCTGAAGCCATGACTTGAAGTTGCACTCCAACATAGAACGTCATCTTGACTCCGCAGTTTCTTACTGGCGAAATGTGCAACAAATTCTAAAATGGTATCATGTACTTTTTGTAGTTTATAATTTGTATTGAACAAGGTTTCTCCTGTCTTATACTCTCGCGAATCTGCCCTATCATGGCAGGATAAATATCAAAACCTGCAATTTTGTCCACCGAACCTCCTCTCGATTCTACCCAGTTAGATTTAGGAAAAAAGTAACCTTGTCGGCGTGAAATATGCTCTACTGCGGCTGGATAAATATCATGACCTTGCAAAAACCTGCAATTTTTTCCAACGATCTCCTCTAGATTAATCCAGTCAGATGTAGGAAAAGAACAAACTAATTTGCACGATAACATCAGCTATAGTAGCTCGTAAACACTCTCTAACACAAATTGATACGAGTAAGTCACAAGAATTGATAAAACACAAGGATCCAATCCAGATGTATTGGAGGAAACGTCACAGGAACAACAATGATTTAATGTGGGGCTATGTAGGTCTTGTCCCCTTAGTAGCCACATCCGAAATCAAAACTAACAGCCGATCAAACGCAAATTCACAACCTATGTGAGTTATAACCTAACAAAATGTTGAAAATAAACTTATTAAAAATTTTAATAAATAACGTTGTCACATTAAAACTGCTTTGCTGTAAATAGGCCTAAGGTTCTAACTATAAAGGGTATTCTTGAACTTGAGGAGAGATGTTTCGATGAAGACAAATTTCTCAAAAGTAACTCCTGGTTAGCTTGAAAATTCGAGGTTATGTCCTCACATCGTTAAGCAACAACATGAAAAGAAGACTGCCAAAGGGTGGAAAATATTTCCTATCCACCATGCTCATTGTACTTCCAACCTGTTATACCTACATTTATCTTCTTCTGCAAAAAGTGGACTTCATAATGTAGACGGATGGATGGAATTATACATGAGATGCCGAAGTACAAAACGATGACTGATTCTGACCTTGGAAACAGAGATTATTCTTTGAGCTCAGATCTCACATGCAGCTGTGCCATCAGGTTGAATATCGTACAAGCAGTGAAAGGAAATAAAATACAGAGTTAAACCTCCCAATAGTGTCACCTCGTGTGAGTGACATCCTCCCATTAGTGACATGAAAATGAAGAACCATTAGTTTCTAATGGAAAATTTTATGCAATAATAGCAGTACGTCACTATTGTTAATAGTGTCATTAGAATTTTCAATAGTGACTGTGTTGAGCTTTAATTGCTATCATAATTGTCACAGAAACACAGAAACACTTCACTGTTCACTTTGCAAAGTGTTGCAACTTGACGTGAACATGCAACGTGTCCAACGTTGGAACATAGGATGGGAACTCATGTATGAACCGTGGGCAACATCTGATTCCGAATCGAGTCTTTGCAGCTCTTTGGATCCAGAGTCTTGGTCAAGCACCACCCACAGTTGTGACATGTTCGTTTCTGCTCTTTTAAACATAAGACTGCCAACTGTGATTGCAATGGCAAGCCTAGAGCCCCTGCCGATGATGAGATAACAGATGTTCTTGGATTTGCTGGCTCGGGGATAGTCTCGTTGGTATCAGTGACGTGCAGCAGACATGAAATTTGTGGTGAAAGCATACGTCAAGCAGTCACTGTAGGAACAGGTACAGAAAGAATGTGAAAGAGAATGTGGTCAGTTCGAGTCATTTCAAGTTTATGAAATCACCAGCTCTGTCTCAGTGCATGCAGGACACACGGCTTTCACGTGGAATGAAGTAGGTATATTAATGATGAAGCCAGTAAAAGGCTGTAACGTATTATTTTGCCAATCTCTAACATCAGAATCTGTACAAAGGACATTTTCTCCATGCAATGTGCATCGCTCCTGCTTTTTAAATTTCCCAATCAGTCTAGGCTCTTCAGGTATTAACGTCACTAAGCTAGTAAAGCTCGTGAAGCCCAAGCTTTATCAAGTAATATACACTTTTAGACACAGCACTTGCAACGTGTCCAAAGTGAACATTCATCCACAAAATCTCACGTACAGAACTGTACTGATCTCTGTACTAAACATCCATACTCACCATCACTGTGGTGTTAACATCTCCATATTCACGAATATGCAATACAGAAATTTTCATGGAGTTTCAAAAGACTAATTAGTTAGCAAGCAAGGTACACACATGGACACTGTTGAAAATTAAGTATATTGAATCATAGGAATACAATTTACAATGTGATTGTCGACTGTCTCAAACTTCTAAATTTTTCAATGTTCTGTTGATGTATCAAAGGACGACGAGCTCTTTGGAGATTGGAAAGCAGCGTACTCTGTAATTCTGTAGATAAAAACGATTCGATGGAAAAAAAATTAATCAAGTCAGTGATTGCTTGATTCGCTTGTTCTACTGTCACCAAAGGCGAAATCTCACCAAAATCATCCTCATTCGAAGCACTATCACTGTGCAAGAGATTATGTTGCTCTAAAACCGATTTGACGATGCTTATATCGTCAATATAATCATCACCAGTATTATTTACAGCATCAAGGTCAATAAGCTCTTCAGCAACTACTTCTATACTTGAGTCATCAAGACCCAAGGACGCTGAAAAAGAATCGTTGAGTCGAATTTCTTGAAGAGTTTTCATCAAATCATCTAGAGCCTGATTTGAGCTACTACTGTATCTATCTATATCCTGATTCGAAATTACGTTAGATACAAGAGGTAGACAGTTGGCTTTAACAAAACACCTTCGAATAGTATTTTCCTCTATACTATCCGATGCAGATTTTACCCAACCAAGTACATTCCGTAGATGGGTATGATCGTTGATCGGAAACTGAGAATAAGAAGCAAGTTCACTCGCCTGCCACATCTCATACTCAGACATTAAATGATTAAGCTGAGCACGACGAAAATGAGCTTTAAAAGATCGTATGACACCTTGATCCAGAGGTTGACATTCGCTAGTAGCATTTGGAGGAAAAAAAATGATACACAGATTTTCAAACCTGAAAAAAGAATCTGTTGATCCCGATGGGTCTAAAATCTTAGACGCACAAACGTGAGACGAACAGTTGTCTTGAAGTACGTAGAAGATGCAGTGTCTGTCCTTGGCAATTTTGTTGTACTTGTGAAGCAAACGCATGTAGGAAGATGTATCCTGCCAAGCTTTAGCTTGATGATCATAAATAATTCCGAACGCCTTACTTATGTCAGGAATACCTTTCAAAGCACGTGGACGAGCACTCTTCGTGATCACCTGCGTCATGAACTTTTCACCTGAAGCACTAACTCCAAGCGTCACTGTAATTCGTTCTTTACTTCGCTTCACTCCACGACCATCTGAATTGACTGTGCAGTACGATCTTGATGACGTCGTGCGATGCTGTAAAGCTGACTCGTCAATGTTAATGATGCATTCGAGTGGTACGTCGCATAACATTTCACGAATTTGTTGCAGACGTTTCTCCACTTCCATGACACTAACGCTGTTCTGTTCTCCGCACCTCCTCTTACTCGATGTTGAAATGCGCTTCAAATACTTCTCCAACCATCCATTAGACGCAACAAATGATTGTAGAGAAATTGTATCTGAAGATGTCAAACATTCTGCAAAGTCGAGCAAAATTTTGTCTCGAAAAAACAGAGCCTTCTTCTTCAGCATCTCACCCGTCACATTCAGCGTGGGCGCATCGATCTCAACACGAACATGCCATTGTTGCACCATTTCTGTAAGAAGTTGAACTCGTGTCGATGTAGATATCTTTTTAAACCGATCTCGATTTGATTCTAACGACACCTGTTTGATAATTTCTCTCTCTTTCCAGATTTTCGAAACAGTTGTACGTGCCACCGAAAATGCCGATGCCGCTTTCTCATGGGTGGCTCCGGGCTGATTCAGAAAATCCAAAACTTCGAGCTTTGTCTTCACGTCCAAACGCTTGCGTTTAGACATGAGTGAGTAATAACGGATGCAGATTAAGAGAAAAAAAAACTCCCACCGAACAGGAACAGATTGCGTCGCGAGAGAAAAAATTGGCCACCTAATGCATAATAACAGTGACAGATCGCAGAAAGAAGCCCTCACCGAACGCACTGTGACAGATCGCAACGAGAGAGAAAGAAGCCCTCACCGAACGCACTGTGACATATCGCAACGAGAGAGAAAGAAGCCCTCACCGAACGCACTGTGACATATCGCAACGAGAGAGAAAGAAGCCCTCACCGAACGCACTGTGACAGATCTCAGCGAGAGAGAAAGAGGAGCCCAGCAAACGCAAATAAAGCGGGAAAAAATATGACATCCTCTTGTGAGTGACACCTCCGAATAGTGACATAAAACCCTAGAACGGTTATGCGTCACTATCGGGAGGTTTAACTCTGTAGCAGGATGTGATACCACCGTTGATATCAATATCACGGTGGTATCAATATCACCATAATGTGCAACAGAACTGGTAGCCGACCATTTGACAAAGAAAACACGTCCAAATTGCATTTACTTCTCGCTTCTCGAAACAAAATTGTCATGCACGACCGGCATATCGGAGCTGTAGGCACACCCTCGCCCGCAGTTGTTATATTCCTGTGGATCTGGATCTCCTGCCCCAGATCTTCATGACAGGACAGGGGCTCATGTAAGGAAATCCTGGACCTACAGCAGTTTAAAAGTCTATAAATACGTCCGAACCTGTGAAAGGCTGTTTTTTCCAACTATTCGTGAGCGAGTCAATCGCTTTCATGGAGTCTCGTGTCTGCGGTTTCATGTCTCCAGGCTTTCCCTCTTCGGCCGTCGGATCTCGGAGATCGACGAAAAAGTGCCACTTAACGCAGCTCCTTCATGCAGTCGTCAAGGTGGATGGGGAAAGTGTTCTGAGTCCTGACCCTCGTCGGGCGGCCTGAGGCCTCGTCCGTTTGTGGTCTGAGGGCGAGCGAACAATCAGCGCAGCGCTCCTGCTGGTCTCCTCCATGTGGCAGCGCGGAGCAGCGGCATTGGCTCAGGATGGCTGCATCGGCTGATGGATCGAGCGCCAGGCGCCAGGCGTGGGGTCCACCCCGGATCGGAGCGATCAGAAGCTCAGGACGAAGCAAACTTCGCGAAGACCTGAAAGGCAGCAGAAACGACGGAGGAATTAGATCTTGACTTCGCCGTGCGGCTCTGGCTCCACTGTTTCGGGAATGGCAGCCTCATCTGCGACGCTGAGCGGCCCGGATTATTTTGAGGATAAAAGGGTTCTCTCAAGGACGGTTGTCCATAGGCGCAATAACGACAAGCGGCGTCGTTTGTTTCTTTCCCGTCCTGGAGTGGGAGCCCGACGACACACCATTAGAGGGGGAGGAGGTCAGAGGCATTGGGTGACTGCATTGCGAGAGAAGGTCGGGGAGGCGTATCCTTTACGTGGTATCGCGTTGAGGGTTTAATAAATAGAAGTGGTTTCTTGCAGCAGCTCCGGGTCCAGTGGATGTTATGAAAGCGATTCCTGAAACGTGAATTGTTCGGAACTGAAATTTGCGGAAATCGGTCCTACGCTTCGGCGCTGCAGCGTGTCTGGGTTCCTCAATTTCACGGTGATCCGGTGAATTTGCTGACCTTCTTGCTGTATTAAGCTGTGTTGTGAATGTAGCGACCTGCATCTGCATCAACTTGGGCCTCAGACATTGGAAGACTGTTAGGATCAGCCCCTCACTTGGCGAGCTCATGTAGTCTTAGAAAGCATTTTTGGCTCTTGAGGCATGCCCTGGGTGTCGCATTCGGCTACGCCGCAATTGCAATCCATCTCGTTATCCCAGCCCTGCAATCCTGCGGACCGTTCCTATCCATTGCTTCCTCTCTCTCTCTCTCTCTCTCTCTCTCTCTCTCTCTCTCTCTCTCTCTCTCTCTCTCTCTCTCTCTCTCTTCTGAGAAGAGGTCGATCGCCCTGCGCTGGAAGTGACTGCCCTGCTCACTGTCCTTGCCCCCACTTCCAGCTGCTGTGCTTATCGCGCTTTCGAGCGACAATGGGTGAGACTTGGCTAGTTCCTTTCGAGCTGGTTAGAGAGGAGATTACGGCTGTGTTAGGGATTGAGAGTGTTGAGATTGTCCTCCGTTATGCATGTCGCCCATTTTGTATCATGGGGTGACTTGAGTGTGTTGTTGTATTGACCGCAGCTCGTTGAACATCTGTGCAGGGATGGCCCCACATTTGAAAGAAGAAGAGCATCTGTTCGGAAATGGGAGTCGTGATTGTCAGGATGACGTCTGGATAGATCTCAAAATCGAAGCCGAGCAAATGTCGGAAGAGAGGTCACCAGATTTTGAGTTGTTGGGGCGAGAACTCTTGCCCGAATTTTTGTTATTCTCGATTCTCAAGTGGAACACTTTAGAAGAGTGTTTGGCCACTCATCTGTCTCAGAAGCTCGGGTGGAGTGCTGCACCAGCTGAGCGGTGGAACAGTGTATTGTTGACGGCTTTTAGAGAAGGGAAATCTGCTAACGGCGAACCTCTGAGTGAACTTATCAGGAAAGACTTGGTCGTTGTGAAGGTGGGCTTTCTCCTTCTGGGCCTGTTCTCTTCTGTGATCTTTTTGAATCACTTCGGTCGTTGGCCTTGAATCACCTTGGAGGTGAAACATGACCAACGGGGCGACGTGTTGTAAGATCGACCTTGGGATGTATGTCAACATTGCTTATTTTTGTTACGTCTCTTTCATTCTCGCAGGAACAAGATCCTGCTTGTCCCAGTCTTGCACATGCCTTACTGCATTACAAAGGATATCAAGGCTTGGAGGTCTATCGGGCTGCCAATTGGTTGTGGAGGAAGGGTTTAAAATCGCTGGCTTGTATTTTCCAAAGTCGGGTGTCTGAAGTCTTTGGCCTTGACATTCATCCTGCGGCACAACTGGGATGGGGGATTATGATCGACCATGGAACTGGGGTGGTTATCGGCGAGACCGCTGTTGTAGGAAATGGTTGCACATTGCTACACGGAGTGACTTTGGGAGGCACTGGGAAGGAGGCTGGTGATCGCCATCCCAAGCTTGGTTGTGATGTACGCCCCGTGTCCTTGCTTCTCGCTTCGTGAAATTCCTTTCGTCCGTTTCATCATTTGTCACCTCTTTTCGAAGTGTATTTTCTACGTTAGCTATCTTTGGTCTTTTCCTCACAACTAATAAATTGTTCATTTTCAGATGCTTATGTATTCTGCTGTATGTAAAGTTTATGTGACTTTCATATAAATAGAGTCTCTGGGACATCAAGAAAGATAAGATCTTCGTACTTATAATTTTAATTTTGGGTAAATAAATTGTTTTAAACAAATTATTTACTCAAAGTCAAAAGTACGTTGAACACCGTCTATTGACTGAGTAACGGGAGGTAGATTCATAAGTACTTGTTCTATAAGTTCGAATTAACAAAATTTTGCCTCGGCCCACTTGGCAGTTTCTTCTCTTAAACCCTCCCGATTGAAATTCTGTAAAGCGCTTTACGGCACTCTACGTCCCGCGCAGTGAATGCTCTCCCCATCGGTTTTTCAGGTCAAATATATCGAAATCTGCTGTAAGAAAGTCGTTCAGTTGTTTTCCTGTTGCTACCTTCTGAAGAGGACCATTGAGCAATTTCTTTGCTCTCTAAACATTGATTACCTATCACGACTGATTATGGCACATTATTAGCAAGTTCTGTTGATGTACCGCAACTAAGTATGCATATTACTGTTTGAGATAAAGCTGCTCGTCATAATGTATCGATGGCTTTGGCCAGAAAATACAAAAATAGATGTAAGTGTTTCCTCTTGCACTTAGTAAGTGGTAAACTGTGCATTGACCCTTAGCGGGTTGAGGACTGATATCCTCATCTAAATCAAGAAATCCGAGGAGAGAATATGTCTTGGTGCAGGGATAAGCGATAAACACTAACCAGGGGTGCTGAAGGCGGTTAAGTTGCCACCTGACAAGAAGATGGACCCTCGGAAGATCGTTCCGGATCACATCTGAAGGAAGTAGATCGTATCAGCTTTTAAAACCAACTCTCGCCCTGTATGCTTATACATGGTGTTCATGAAACAAATTTTCGGTCAGTCTTACGTTTGAATTGCGGAGCAGATCGAAAAACTCTCGTAAGATTTGGCCTACAGGATTGAAGGGCCGGGAACCCAAAAAAATCATAGGTCCAAGTCAGCATCTCCGAAGTACCTTTTTTTTTTTTTTTTTTGCCAATGCCAGTCAATGGATGTTTATCTGGAGTAGAGTTCAACAGAACATGCGTCGAGCATTGTCAAGAATCAAATAAAGAAAATGTATGCAGTATGCTCCAATTCCTTAAAAGATAATACTAAGTCACAGAAAATGGTGACAAATTAGCGTATGCAAATATATATTTTTTATTCCAGACGTACAAAGCATGCTTTCCACCACTAATATTCCTCTGTTTACATTTTTCTAGGACTGCATGGTATGATTGCCCCCAAGTCCAATCCTTTGTCCAGGGCTAAAGAATATACTGACTGGGCATGTTATTGGCGTTGTAGCCCGGAAACCTTAAGTAGCCATTATCCTATCCTATCTAATTTCACACAAGTACAAGAGTATTTCCTGCCTTGAAACTGGCCGGAACCTTCCATCTTTTGCCTTTCCTCGTGTCTGCTTGAAGTTCAACTCATACATTGAGACTGTCATCAGGTTCTTGTGGGTGCTGGAGCAAGCATTCTTGGAAACGTCAAAATAGGCACCGGTGCAAAGATCGGAGCTGCAGCTGTTGTCCTTACCGACATTCCTGCTCATTGCACAGCAGTTGGATGTCCCGCAAAGGTCAGTCATCTGAGTTGGATTCAAGTACATCACGGGATTTTAAAAGAGGGCCTCCTCACAATGTTGTCATGTATTTGAGAAAAATGTTTTATCCTAGTATTTCTTGGATGTACAGGTTGGAAACACTCACGTTACGGTTCCAAACCTCGGCTGGTGGGCCAAATTAAACTGGCCCAGCCGGCCGGGCCGCACCCTTTGTAAAGTTTTTTCAAAGCTTTGAAGACGAGGGTATATCACTGAAATTCCAGAGTATATATTCCATATTCCAGAGTACATATTCCAGAGCTGTATTGAGTTTTCTAGATTTTCATTCAGCTGAGATGAGACCTGCTTGGAGATGCTATGCTTCCATATAAGTTTCAATTTGAAGGTATTAATGTGAGGTTGGACCATCCTTCGTGCTCGAGCAGGTGATTGGTCGAGCCAAGGAAGAAAACCCAGCCAAGTCATTGGATCACTCGTGTCGCTTAGTCGAGATGTTCAGGAGTCGACCTAGGCCATTATGTCCTTTCCGGAAATTAGATTCTCAAAAGAAAGGATACTTGGGACCGCATGAGTTTGAGAATATGTTGCGAACTGCATGCAAAGTGGAAATCAGCTCGAGTGAAGCAAACGATCTGTTTTTCAAAATGGTAACACCTTCTCATCTCTTCTCTCTTAGCATAATAACGATCGCAACCTAGCATGTCGTTTTGCTCTCTTCCGTGTACATCACAGCAAGTAATGTCTTGTTTTTAGCCGAAACGAACCTATTGTAATCTCGACAATATGGATCACGATGCTTGCAGGATTCTGATCACGATGGTCTGCTGACGGAAGCAGAATATAATGAAAACCTTCCTATCTACATGGAGGTCATGAGAAAGAGAGCCGTCAGTGTACGTTGATTTGGAGAGTCGAAGTCTTGTAGCGAACGATGTACTGGAACGTCGAATAACATTATCTATGTAGGTATTGGATTGATGTAACTGTATAAAATCCTGGCAGCAACTTCGAGATGTTCATAGAAAGACCCTGTATATATCTAGTGATGTGACCTACACACCGCAAGGCACAGGTGCATATTTCGTGCACCATCAGTCATAGCTAGGGTCCTAGAAGCTGACATGTAATCTGGTAAGCAAGGCGCCTTTGATCTCTGATGAGAACATGCTGCCAAAATAGGGGCATCAATGTAAAGTAGTTAGTAGGCCGTTGTGAAAGGACTTTCATCTCATCGTTTGGATGTGCCTCTTTTCTCAATTTGTTTATTAGAACGGGACTAATGTGCTTTCAGGGCCTCCTTACAAATATATTAGGATACACATATTTTGAGCGTTTAATGTTCCTCAGTGGTTTAATTGCAACCTCAGTGGTTTAATTAAACCTATGTTTAATTGCAATGTACTGCGCTTGCAGTTTATATGGTTTTGATTTCTTCATGGGATAATTTTGTACAATTTTTACATATGCTTCTAATGCAGGAATAAGACTTGAACTTATACCTGAGGTTAATGTGTGTTAAGGAGCCTGTTTGTTTCTAAATTTCTAGATCATTTTCAGAAGCATGACTTTATAGCCTTGGCTTTTAACGAGTATTTCCATAATGCATTCATTCTTATGTGGATTCCACACCACCGGTAAATATAGTAAACTGATGTATGAAAGACAATCCCTTCTAGCTCCTTAAAAAGTAATAAGATTATAATGGCCAAGTGAATCATCTCTAACATTTGGAACTAATCGTTGGTGACAACTGGTAAAATGGAACAGGAAAAAAATTGCAAATGAAATACTGGCAAACTTATTCATTTCCGTCATCATACCTCGCAACTTAGATAACGAACTGTATACTCAAAAAAAAATTTGTCAATTGTCTTAGGTATAAATTACTCATAAGTTGCAAAAAAATTCACACATGCATTTATATTATACATGATCTCGAATAATTCAAAGACTGTTATGCATCATACATCAGTTTGAAGGGGGCGTGAAATAACTGAAAATGTTGAAATAAACAACACATCACAAATTACAAGTTTTTGGAAAACACTCCTCTTATTTTTGTTGAAGTAAGCTTTGGATGTATCAATTTAGTAATATCATAAAAAGATAATTGTAATGATGATCATTCCTGTAGATTAATAATCTTCCCTTTAAGTTCAAAATCATAATTTTAGAGTTGAAAATACAATTTTCAAAATTGAAATCATTTGATGATGAATGAATTTTTAGAATAGATTCCAAAAAGCTTTCGCTACTTTCGTAAACGTTAAAAAATATGATTTTAACAATGTATCTTATGCAAACTGTATTTCTGATATTGAATTCACTTTATCATATCATGCTTTGTTTGGAATTTAAGTACATATTATAACTCATAATAAAATAAAAAATTTATAATCTGTTATTAAATTATTCAATTAATTGTATCACATGTAATATCATGTTTGAATGAACTAAGAATCAACAAATTTATTCATTTTATGTCAATCAACTCTCTATATTAAGCTCATTTGGATTCATGACAAGTTCAAAAATATCAAATTATGATGTGATAAAATATAAAATTTAGAAATTTAATCATTATAAAAAAATTAACTAATTAATTTTAACATATAAACAGAAAATTTTCCTTGATGAAGCCATATGTTTTATTAATATATATCGTTATTTAACACATGTTTAAAAATTTTATGAATAAAGTATATTGATAAGTATAAAAGTTTGTTAAACATGTCATGTGTATATGTGTTGTCTATATTTAGCATAAAGTTATGTTGACTCTAGTTGAGTAACCCTAGGTAGAGCCTAGGTTAGGTAGTTCATGTCAGAGAGTATAGAAGCGCTTACTTGAAGACAGTCAGTTTTTTGAGTTGAGACTTTGAGTGTTAGAGTAGCTTGGTGTTTACTCTAGCTTCGACTTGTAGTCTCCAAGGTGCATAGTGAGTTTGGCTAGATTTGATGTGATTCTTGATGTTTGAAACCAATAGAGTTTACACAGATACTTTCACTCAAAGAATTCATCTTCATTGAATCGAGATGAAATTGATAGGATTGACAAGGAGATTGTGGAAGAGTGTATCGGAGAGTAACAAATTATTTGATCATTGCATTTTCAGCCAGCAAGTTTTGGTTCTACTTGTTTCATATTAGTTTTACCATAAATTTCTAAATCTCAAGAAGACTATGTGGAAGTGACGCACGTGAAAGTATGTGTTGTTCTTCAGCATTTTGCTAAAATCTTCAAATCCTCATTCTCGAGTGATGTATCAAGGTACCTACAGAGTCTACACGCGCTTAATGCAATGTGTTCGATAATCGAGGATTTGAACGTTTCGAGATGCGGTATTACCAATTAGGATTTGGAAGTTGTTCTAGTTGAGAATGAAACGTCATTGAAGAGCTTGTCTTTGGCACAATGCAAAGCCCTCACTGACAAGAGTTTTGAGAATCTGAAGTGGCTGATGATCTAACCAAATTTCAAAGCTTTGAATGTGAAGCAGTTTCATGGTATGAGTTGGAAGTTTCTAAAACATTTTGAGATGAACTTTCTCAATATATTTATGTGACGCACTTGAAAGTGTTGAACTTCCGTGGATCATTCAAGCTAGTTTTTAGAAAGTTTGACCTTGAGTTTTCCAGTTGTAGGAATGTTATTGGGAAAGTGATGACATGTGGTACTACGTATCGAATTCCAAAAGTTGTTTCGATTGTTTCCATCAGAAATTTCTCATATTTTAAGTTTAGTTATCATTTGCAAAGCGGAGATGTAGTTCTGGTTCCTACTAGTGTCAAGTCTTGATGCATAGATCTCCTATGTGCTTACGGTGCTTTTAAGAGATCATGTTGGGCATATCTGCCCCGAATAAGCAAGCCGCGATGCTCTCGCCCATCACGAGATGTGAGTCAAAGTAATTTGTGACCAATTTGAGTTCCATGTGGAAGAACCATATGATGGAAAACTCTTTGCGCTCCTGCCAGTACTGCATTTTTCATTGCTCCATTGCAGATACCACGAAAGAAAGTAATTTCAAATTTGTCCGCAGTATAGAGGATTCGACTTGATTGAAAAAACTCAAAGAGAGATTATTGCTACAGGTAGAACGACGCCAGATTTGGAAATTCATTTCAGAGCAATCTGGACAAATTGAGACTTTGATGTACTTTGCGGATGAAAATGTATAGATTTATGGATGCAAAAGCGAGCTTTCATGTCATTTGTTCTAAATCGCATCTAATTTATTGATAGATGGATACATATCTCTACATTACTACATGTAGCTGAATGTGTGCAAAAGTAAATGTGTTTCAAAGAATTTTTGAACTAAGTATCAAAATCTTTTATCATGTCCATGTCAAGGAAGAAGCTTCGCAAGAAGTCCTCCCATAAAGTGTATTTCTTCTTTAGAATTGGATGTTTGGAAATGTAGCGTAAAGCTCCGTAGAGTTAGTTCGCCAACAGCTTTTTTGTTAGAGGGCCAACATGCCATACAATATGTTCCACTCACTATGTTTAGTTATCCATTTCTTAGCTTCACAAGAATTTTTGTATTGTGTGAGTTCGAGAACCAAATATCATTCAACGTCGCCTTGAGAGGCCTTGTTTCTTAGATCCAAAAAAAAAGTGAATGTCATGTAGTTACTGTACTTCAATTACTATTTTTGTATATGACGTGATCAAATAAGTATTATAATTTCCAGTGGTTAGCATGTTAGCATACTGAAAGTCTTTGTTGATGATTACCTAATGAAATCATAGCCTCAGAGCCTCATAGTTGAATATAGGATGAGCATAACTTCTATACTCATTACTTTTTACAGTTTAAATAATATAGTTGATTGATTACACAAGGTGGAGATGTTCTTCCAAGTTCCAATTGTTGATGGATTCGTGATCGACCTACTGCCAAGGACCTTAGAGCAAGGAGAAGGCTAGCAGTTAAGCTGCAGCTTGTACGTGTCAAGCTGCATGCGGATGTGATATGCGCGATGGAGATGAAATCACGATCGCTATGCAATGCAATGTCCCATGTGACGTGTTTTTTTGTTTTGTGTTTCCTTTAGACTGGAAAGTCATTGCTAGTTTTTTCTTGTGTTTGGATACTCTCTAGTCTCGCTTCATGGTGCACTCTTGTTACGGAGTAACTTTGATCCTAGTTAAATGTAGCTAGGAAGTGTACTCAAGACTTAGGGTTCTTTAATCCAAGTGACTTTAGAATGTAAAGTGACATTTTGTCATTGAGCAATATTCTCTCTTGTGAAAGTAGTCCTACACATAGATTAACCATGAAACGCTATGTCTTTTAGTGTTTGTTAGTTTGGAATTACTATATGTCAACTTGTAATTATTATTTTGCTTGTGTCATACTAACAAATTAGTATTGGAGTAATTGACATCTAGTAAAATAGATTTTATTTATAAAAAATTTGATCAATACACAAATACTCTTGATTTAAAACTTAATTTGCAAATTTTACTATCAAAAATTTTTAACTAATTAAAATTGCTATTAATATAAGTTAAATATTTCAATGTTTAACCTCAATGATAATGTAAATTTATTAATCATATGAACAAAATATTTCATGCTTCAAAATTGAAGTATGAGATATGATAAATACTTTTTTATAAAATAACTTTTTTGATATTCAAAAAGGTAATAAATAACAATTATATAATAATGTGATAAAAATAAATACGAATTTTCATTTATCATCAATTCATTTTGATAAATCATATGTGACATGTTTTTTGTTGATAAAAGTCATAGTTTGTAATTTATTGATGATCATATCATCTTCATCAAACTTTTAACTCATATTTATCAACAAATTACACATAGCTTTAAATTGATACAATAATCAATATGAAAATAAATTTTGCAAGATGTCACATTGACATATTTTTACAAACAAATTCTACTCTGATTAATGTTTATATTTTTCAGTATTTTTTAAAATTTATCATTTTTTGTAACTTTTTCATGTCTTATGTTATTGAAGTGATTTAAAATTTCAAATTTCAAATAGATTGATATATAAGAGGAGAAAAAATGGTATTGATTACATAAAAATCTTATGTTGTAAGTTATTAATCAACAAGACATTTAATAAAAATTTTGTAAACGATTTTTTATCTAAAGATAAAAACACACTTTTAAAAATGACAAATATGAAATTAAAGTTGATAGATTTACTTATTTAGGTGCTTCTATCTTATTCAAATAATAAAGATATCTTTAAATTTTTTTAAATATTTGAATATGACTTCGGGTTCTTGTATCGTAATTTTTCATTTAAGAAAATATAATCTCTAGATTGATTTGGAAATTTTTTAACAAGAATTGTGTGAAAATGAAATTCATTTCTTTAAATATTATAAAAATAACAAACATTTCTGCAATCAAAAAACAAAGTAAAAATGTTTTATATTTA